TTAAAGCCAAATCTTGTTTTGAGAGTCCAACATACCTACCTATGGACTGAGCAAGATCCTTCAAGTAAGTTGTCATCGATGCAATAAGGCAATAAAAATTTCTTCTAAAAGTGTTAGATCATTTAGCGTAAGATAAAATTGAGCATTGTATGAAATTGTGATGGCGAAGAATAAAAGCGACAGACTACATAATAAAGGTTTCCATCATAAGGGGCAATATAACATAACGTTCTCTTGCACTAAGGGATTGAGCACATAAAAAAAGCGCATGGCAACCTCTGCTTCCCTCTGGGAAGGGCTTATCTTTTACTTTTATGTATTTACTTTCATGCAAGAGTCAAAGTTCTTCTCTCTATTCCTTTTTATTTTCTCTTCTGGCAAGCATCGTGTGGTGAGGAAAGATCTACGCACATATATCCAGTTGAATATAGGTAGCATGAGTTATTATTGTTGACATCACCCTTGAGGTGAATACGTTGGGAGGCGAAACTATAAGCCCCAATCTTTCTATGTGTCCGGTTGAAATGTTTTTCTCATGTGTACGCGGTGAGTGTTAGCAATCATAGAAGACTATATGATGGTGGAGTATGTGGACTTGCCTAAAGGCTTCGATACATGACCCTTCCTGAAAAGATGATGAATTGTAGTCGCAAAGTTGACTGAGAACATAGTTTGCTGGTTTCCTATAGAGTTTATACTTTATACTTCGATGTTGTGATGAATTGTTACTTATTCATGAGAAGTTTATGATAAAAGTTTTAATGTTAAAGTTTGTTGTTGTTATAATAATTTACATGATGCTTCTATGTCTGTATTTTGTTTTTATCGACACCTCTCTTTCTAAGCATGTGGACATGTTTTTCGATTTCGGTTTTCGCTTGAGGACAAGCAAGGTCTAAGCTTGGGGGAGTTGATATGTCCATTTTGCATCATGTTACCTACTGTTATTTATATTGTTTTTATGCATAATAATGCTTTTTGGAGTAATTCTAATGCCTTTTCCCTCATAATTTGCAAGGTTTACACAAGGAGGGAGAATTCCGGCAGCTTGAAATCTGGACCTGAAAAAGCTACGTCAGACTAACTATTCTGCACAACTCCAAATGAGCTGAAACTTCATGAGAAATTTTTATGGAATAAATGAGAATTATTGGAGCAAATAAGTACCAGAGGGGGCCCACCAGGTGGGCACAACCCACCTGGGCGCGCCTAGGTGGGCACAACCCACCTGGGCGCGTCAGGGAGCCCAGGCGCGCCCTGCCATGGTTTTAAATAGCCGATAGCGGGCTGGTAGCGGGTTGGGGTCCGCGTAGCAGAATGCGGATAGCGGGCGATATTGCGGGCGCTATGTCTGCATAGTGGGTTTGTAAAAACAATAGATTATTATGCATATTTCAATATCATTAACAAAAAGTAATGACATCTAATTTGAGAAGTAGTGGACTCTATTGCGCTAGCGCTATTGCGGGTGCAATAGCGGATGCTATCTCTGCTATTTTAAACTATGCGCCTTGGTGAGTTGTGCTCCCCTCAGCCCACCTCCGGTGCCCATCTTCTGGTATATAAGTCATTTTTCCCTAGAAAAAATGAGGAGAGGACTTTCGAACGAAGCATCGCCGTCTCGAGGCGGGACTTGGGTAGGAGCATTTTTGCCCTCCGGCGGAGCGATTCTACTGGGAGAACTTCCCTCTAGGAGGGAGAAATCATCATCATCGTCATCACCAACAACTCTCCCATCTTGGGGAGGGAAATCTCCATCAACATTTTCAACAGCACAATCTCCTCTCAAACCCTACTTCATCTCTTGTGTTCAATCTTTGTACCGGAACTATAGATTGATGCTTGTGGGTGACTAGTAGTGTCGATTACATCTTGAGTTGATTATTATATGGTTTATTTGGTGGAATATTATATGTTTAGATCCATTATGCTATTTAATACCCGTCTGATCTTGAGCATGATTATCATTTGTGAGTAGTTACTTTTGTTCTTGAGGTCACGGGAGAAATCATGTGAACTTGATATGTGTTCGATATTTGGATTCCCTTAGTGGTGCCATATGAACGTCGACTACATGACACTTCACCATATTTGTGCCTAAGGGATGCATTGTGGAGTAGTTATTAGATGATGGGTTGCGAGAGTGGCACAAGCTTGAACCCTAGTTTATGAGCTATTCCGTAAGGGACCGATTGGATCCAAAAGTTTAATGCTATGGTTAGAATTTATTCTTAATATTTTTCTCATAGTTGCGGATGCTTGCGAGGAGGTTAATAATAAGTAGGAGGTTTGTTCAAGTAAGAACAACACCTAAGCACCGGTCCACCCACATACCAAATTATCCAAGTAGCGAACACGAATAGAACCAACATGATGAAAGTGACTAGATGAAATTCCCGTGTACCCTCAAGAACACTTTGCTTATCATAAGAGACCGTTTTGGCCTGTCCTTTGCCTCAAAAGGATTGGGCTGCCTTGCTGCACTTTTGTTACTTCTACCGTTACTTGCTCGTTACAAATTATCTTGCTATCAAACTACTCTGTTACTTACAATTTCAGCACTTGCAGACATTACCTTACTGGAAACCACTTGTCATTTCCTTCTGCTCCTTGTTGGGTTCGACACTCTTACTTATCGAAAATTCTACAATTGATCCCATATACTTGTGGGTCATTAGGGGAGGGGGTAGGTTAGGGTTGCGGGATGCCGGCGGGCTTAAATAGGCGCCAGATGTCATCTTGGGCGGCGAGCCGGAGTGACGCCACGTGGCGTTCCCACTGTGCCAATGGGCGCGGCTTCTGTTGGACTGCCGGGTTTCCGGGCGTTTCCGTGTGTGGCCACACGCCTGGGCGCCTCATATCCGTCCCATATTTGGGCTGGATATGAGGTGTCGGTCAGCCGGGCTTTTGAGGGGCCTGTCTGGGTCCAAATTTCATGACCGGGCGGCCTAGCCGGGCGTTTGAGACGGGTTTGAGGGGTCCGGTTATAGATGCTCTTATAGTATAGAGGGAAAAGATTCTCTCGTTTATTGGTGGCCGTTCCGATTAAGCTCCGCTGACAACAAGTAGTGTGCGTAGCACCGGCTGTAGCTAAAACATTGTTGTGATGTGACGATTTTTTAGGGTGCATTCACATCCTATTTCTTCGTGATTGGTTGAGAGTATCCACCGTCGGATTTGGCAAATTCAACCCTTCAAACGCCCGGGGACGTATGTGGACATTGACCGGTCAAGCCTCAAATTTTCTTTCTCATAATCGGACACCTAAATTACCATACCTCAAATTCATATAAACTCATGCAACTACGTCGATGCATTACACACATCGTTCGGCTACTACATCACTAACTTGCCATCAGACAACCAAAATTTGACATGTTTGGCTATGGTGGAGAAGATCATCTACTACTGCCCTTGCCCTTCCTAGTGCCCTTGCCGTCCTTCTCACGAAAGTACCGGTCGAAGACACAATAGGGATCAAGCCGGATCTACTCGTCACCGTTGTTGTCCTCCTTCTCCTCCTTGGGTGGTAGTCCGGCCATTGCACGGACCGCCTGATTCTGCTCTCGAGTGAGGGCGCGAGTGTTCCTCCGCGGCCGCTTCTTTATAATGCGGGTGCGGATGGCTTCCTCCTTTGTGGTGCGCCTGCGTCGCCGCCATGTCGGCAGTGAGGCGGGCCTCCGCCGCCCTTATCCTCTCCTTCCCACGAAGGGCACACCGGTCCCGATGGGAGTCATACTCCGCCGGAGCGGTGATGGTGAAGGGCAGATTTGCAGGCTCTCAGGACCGCGATGATCCAGCCTCGGAGGATCCGAGCGCCCGATGCGCCGACCCTATGGAGTCGTGCCGGACAGATCCTTCCGTCGGCTGGGTGTTGTCGTCCCGGGAGCGGTGGAGCGCAATGCGGACGGCCACTGCCTCCTCCAACCCACACCGAATGACACCCCATCTGATGGATCCGGACTGATTGTAGTTAGGTCCGCTACTCGCCATGCCGGAGATTGTCGAACTGGAGCTTGGGTGGCGGAGGGGAGTGGAATGAAGTGGAATGAAGTGGCTAGAGTTTGGTCCAGCGAGCGGATGAGGAGAAATATATGTGGGGTCGGGTGGGCTGGGTCCGACGTGGCGATTGCCTGAGCGCCCCCCATATACTTCCCATATTTGGACTGGATATGAGGGGTGCCGATTAGCCCGAACATTTGAGATCCGTTTAAGGCGCCCGTCTGGATCGAATTTTTATGACCGATCAGTGGCCGAGCTGTTCGCCCACACATTTGAGGCGGTTTGGGGCGTCCTACTGTAGATGCTCTAAGGCAGCAGGGTTTGAGCAATTTCTTCAAAGGCATCACCGGATTCGCAATATAGGAACTCATACGTAGCTTTCAGAATGACCCGATGGAGATTTTATGGACGCTTCATGTAGACAATTAAAACATGCGTCCAAATAAATTGAATTCAAATTTGAATTTTTTTTATTTTAAAAATTTATTATACTAGGTATTTGAATTGTAATTGAAACTACTTTTATTTCAATTGGAGATGCCTTGACGAGCCAAGCCTTGACAAGCCAAACAGCTCGTTCCAAACAGCTTGAGTAGTGACCGTGGATCACGGTCACCCGTCTGGGAGCGAATCCGCTAGTGGAGAACTCTCTGTGCCCTCCGCTTCCCCTCGCTGCCGCACTTCCTTCCCCCTCGTCTTCTCTGCCGGCCTACCCCGATCCAGTCGCCACGGCCACCGCCTCTCCCAGTTTCCACCTGCACGCCATTCCCTGTCGGCGCCGCCGTCCGCTGCACGTTCCGCCACCTCTACCCCCGTCCACGGTGACCATCGCCTAGGCCCCACCTCATTGTCCTCCTCTTCGGCGGCCGCCGGCGCCTCCGCCATTGCTCCCATGGCGTTAGGGTCGAACGGTCCCGGGAGAGCCGACTGCTGACTGAAGCCCGAGCGCAGGTATTTTCTTGCCCGGTGGAACTGACGCCCGTCACCTGTTCGACGGAATGCCGAAGAGGCGCAAGAGCAGCGAGGAGGCGACCGATGCGAGCGGCGAGGATCTCATCAGCGCCCTGCCTGACGCCGTCCTCCAGGTCGTGCTGTCCTTTCTGCCCTCGGACGAGACGGTGCGGACGTGTGTGCTCGCTCGGCGCTGGCGCCACCTCTGGAAGTCCACACCCACCCTACGCATTATCCAGAGTGAGGGTTGTGTGATGTACTGGAGTGACTATGCGATGAATAACTTCGTGAACTACCTTCTACTCCTCCGCGACCGCTTGCCGTTAGATGAATGTCAGATCAGTTACAGCAAGCCATGTGACCGTGAGGAACTCAATGAGATGCTCCGGTTCGTTAATATGTGGATCCGCTATGCCGTGTCACTCTGCCAAGCTCAGGTGCTCAAAGTATGCATCGGCAATGTGGGCATTCTCCTGGGGCGTAGCAACTTGGCTCTCACGTCACGGTTTCTCAGGAGGGTGGAGCTTACAGGTGTGATTTTGTCTGGATATTCTCTAGACTTCTCAAGCTGCCCCGCATTGGAGGATCTGAATCTGTGCTCTTCAAGAATTTATGGCCCCAAAATCTCATCCCAATCAATAAGACGTCTAAGTATGACTCAATGTGATTTCAATGTGGATACTGGGTCCCGCATGCGTATCTCTGCCCCATGTCTCGTATCCTTGCAACTAGCTGATGTTTATGGGACTGCTCCTCTGCTTGAGAGCATGCCGTTATTGGTAACAGCATTTATCAGGCTTGGTCACGATGGTTTTGGTACCTGTACACATGAAGCTTACGGGGATTGTGATGAATGTTTTCCCTATAATTCTGATCACTCTTTCTATGATATCTTTCCCTATGGTGGCTCCTTTGCTAATTACCGTGACAGCAATGACTATGTGCTTCTACAAGGCTTGTCAGGCACCACCAGTTTAGAGTTGACGACTATTGATCCTGATGTGGTATGCTTGCTCTTCTGCTTTAAATCCCAAAGTCTCCTAGTGGCTAGTATTGCTTTCAATGTGCTATACTATACATGTGTATTTGTCATCAACTATACATAAACTCACATTTTCAAAATCTCCTTACAGTTTGGATTGTCACCATGTAAAGTATTTTCATGACCAAACCTACTACTCCCTCCGATCCATATTAATTGTCGCTGGTTTAGTACAATTAGTATGGATCGAAGGGAGTAACTTTTTCATGATAATGAATTCGTGTATTGTTGTTCAGATTCATCACTTGCCTGCATGCTTTCCATTCAACTAGATCGGTATGTTTGCTTTCCATTAGATATGGAACTGGATGATCAAGTATATGGGGATGTCGTGTAATCAATTGACATGTGCTTGCACAGAATAAGCAAGTAGCGAGACCCGGCAAGTGAGCAACTAAAAGAAAATATCAGTGATGTATTGTAGTGCACATCTTGAGTGATCTGTTACGTGTAGTTCCTGGTTACAGTGATTATAGCACTGATCTCGTATTGTAATTGCTGTACATAGTATTAATTATAGCACCGATTATTTCAAATATACATGGATGCATAGTTATTATATCCAGCAAGAAGCCCTTACACATAAGTCCAAGCATGCTACTATTGATTGAGATTTTACCACAGGAGGATCGTGTAAGATTCTGACATGCCAACATTTAGCACCGTTTTACCAGGTTATATTGACTTGTACTTGCAAACCAATGTTTTTGGCCCCAAATTCAGCACTTCTGAAGTAAGCGATTTTGGCGCAAGCCCATTTGAGTTGATGCGGACTTTGCCAGTCCAACATGGGGGCAGGGCTCTGAGCAAATTTTGGGAATAGGGTGTTACTGTCTTACTGTTATAAAGGACTCAGATGTCAAAATATTAAAGACCCATTGAGAATAATCAGCCGGTTACATTAATTCTTTAGGATTCTAAATCTGAAACTTATCCAATATGATGTGTTATCTGTCTTCTCCAGAAGATCAGTCTAGGCTCAATAAGACGTACCAAAGCTCCTAGTCATTTCAATATAATTGGAAAAATACTATCTGGTACTTTTTAAAATTTCAATTTTGATTGTTCTTACTGCTCGTGCTTGGTGCAGTTCACTTTCAGAAAGGATTTGAAACAGTGCCCTACATTTAGTATGCTCAAGACATTATTACTCAATGAGTGGTGTGTAGCGGCTGACTTTGGTCCACCAGTTAACTTTCTTCAGTGCACGCCAATTCTGGAGAAACTTATTATTCAACTTCGACTTGATAAGGTATATGTTGTCCAAGTATGGTAGCTTTGTCTTGTTGGAGGTACTATGTATCATTTATTGATTTGAGTAAAATATTTTGTTAGCTACCGAGAGTGAATTCTATGATAGAAACATATGAAAGCTATAACCCAGCAGTACAGTTGGTATTGAAGCATCTCAAGGAAGTTGAAATCAAATGTCATAAGGAAGATGAGGTGGTTCGCCAGATTGTGAAGATCTTGAGTACCTTTGGAGTACTTTCTGATCAAATTGACATCCAAGTTATCCAACAGGCATATGTTTCTGGAAGTAAGTTAGCTATTATTACTTTTCATGATTCATGTGTTTCCGCTATTTGCATTTGTGTTTAAATTTTTCGTTGATAATTACCATCACGAAGTAAGTTACTTATTATCACTCGACTTGATTGTGGCTTTCTATGGTAAGAAACTGCACTCTTATGTTACTTTGAAATATTTCAAAGTAGACATTTCACACATGTAAATAGAATTAAAAAAATGTAGGCTTAATGGAATGCAAGTGTAAACCTAAGCACAAGCAGCGTGCATAGCTGTATCCTGTCACTGCCATTTTCCCATCTTTTGGCTGCAAATGCCTAAATAGCACCATGCCATACCTGGAGTCCGCATTGGCGGTCCTTGGCAGGCCATCGGTAGTTAGCTGTTGTGAATATAGCTGCAGATGGTACCCAACATCATCTTTTTGAGATTTTGCATTTGACCATGGGAACAGTAATTTCGAAAAAAGTAGTTGTCCGTCTCCGGTAGGAAATCTTGTTCTAGTGGATGTGACAAAAAGCTGGTCCATCAATGTCATAGGAATGACTGTAGATCATGCTAACAAGAGATGATACTATCTGAATTATCTACATTAGATGACACAACTCTCTGTGCTGTTGCATCTCTTAACTCAAGATATGAGCACTGGTTAAAGGGGAGATTATCTATTCTTGTAGTAGCAGCTTAGCATGAGCCCTTTGGTAGCTTTGTAGGCCGCGGAAACGTTCAAAATGTCTGATCCACCTTAGAAGGCTGCAGTAGCCGAAATTCTCAGCCGGTTACAAGTTAACCCCTCTGTCCCAATACCACAACTAACCATGCACACAGACCAAGGAGACACATAACTTCTCTCAAAATGTTTAAGCTAGGGCATGTATGAAACAATTCAATAGCTACACTTTGATTATCTCAATGGACAATTATTTTAAAATGGAGACCCTTCCGAGGTCGTGGGAAGGTAATACCGAAACGGGAGAGCAGTGACACATCCTCCTAGCTTTCCAGCAATTAGATCATGTTGCATCCCGGTGTAAGTGTGAAGGCATTCGATGCAATGCAAGATCCAGCGCTGCCCACTCTCTGATGCTTATTGTGTTCTGTTATGTTTCTACAGGTTTCAGTTTCGAGCAGACTGAGATCCTGGATTGATGATCGATCTTCTGTCTCCTGATCGCTTGCGCACCTGTCTACAGCTATGAGTTTGTGGCCTTCTGATCTGGATGTTCTAGCAGTCTTGTTTTATCTGAACCTTGCGTTCTGAGTGAGTACCAGGACGTCCATGTTAGCTCAGGATCGCTATGCTGGGTAAAAGTGGTCTCAAGTTCGTTTGCATTTGGTGAGGGTGTCCGTTATGCAATGGTTGCCCTTGGAAACATGGTTGATGGGCTTCAAGTGTTGTTTGTTATCTGTCCTTGGATTAATTCGGCAGACTTTCCGAACGGTCTGAGTTTATGTCACCAACTTGCTTATTATCAGCGCCGTTTCTCCTGTATGTTTCCTTTATGTTTCTTTAGATAGATGTATTCGGTTGGCTGTGATGTGTGCACATTTTGGTTCAAATTTGCTTTAGACCTATCTGATGTGCTGGTCTGATAGAGTCGCGGGTTCGTGCTCTTTCTGTGTTGAGGTTACCATCAAGGTTCCAGAACTGCATCTAGAGATGTCGCAATTTCTTGAAAAGGGGTCATATATGGTAACCAAAGTAAGGTGCGCACATAAACAATTTCTCATGCAGCAGAGTTTGAATTCATTTCAAATCTTGAAACCATCAGGTCTAAAAGACATGACGCGATGCCCCCGCCACGGTATTGCCCGCGCGGTGCAAACGTACCAGTACCGCCAGGCAGCAGCTGCTACATCACATTATCCCGTTACTGTTGCCGTTGGTATCACGTGGCTACCGTCACTCTACCCCCAGAGTGGCCACAAATCGCACGAGCAGGGGTAACATGGGTGAACAGTAACCGTTGGCGAGGGATCAGAGTAATCAGGTCGGCCCTTTGTCTTCCACCGGGCCGTGGCGTTGGACGTATGCGTCCGTATCCCGCGCGGCGGCGTGCGTGATCGTCCCGTTGAAACGCGGTCGGAGAGTGGAAGAACGGGGAAAACGGCAATGGGATTCATGGTGGTCCGGTCCAAACACATTGTACGTGCCCGTCCTTGTCACGACCGCCTATGAGGACCGAGGTCAAGTCCTTGGGGCATTTGACAGTCTGCGTGAGCGTGACAAAGAATGACAGGGAGTGCATGCGTGTCGCGCGCCGTGCCATACCATGTTGCCCGCTGCCGTTTCCAGACCACGTACACATCGGTTGAACCAGGAAAGAGGCAGAACTAGCTGGTCGCCGGTGCAGGCCATCCGCCGGAGGCCCGGGATGCGTACGCAGATAGTACGCGTTGTCCGGCCACGATGCATATACACAGATTTGGAATGCGTGCTAGCAGGATCAGCTGCACAATCGGGAAGAAAGCTGTCAGCCAGCCGGTCACTCCTGGCGAGCGACGCCGTTTTTCTGGGCCAAAACACGGCCGGCCATGCGTAGGCACGCACGGCTCCGCTTCCGATCAACCGTCACATCCTTGATCCGCTGCGACGCGGTTTCCATTCGCCGCTTGGTGACAGACGTACGGCTACGCGCCTCGGCCTTCCAGTTTTGAGCGAACGTTCGCATACGATGGAATTTGCAGCGAAGCAGCGAGGCCCAACGCGTCTACGCATTTGGGGTGTACAACTCTTTCGACCATTCCGTTCCCAGCACGTCACGCGATTACGCGGCGACGCTGTTTATATTTGGTCGATTTGGTCGTCTCGCCAACGTCAATGTGTGCACACGGATGTGCCAAATGTTTCTGGAAGGAGCGAGCTCGGCCAAGCCTTTCGGGTCCTCTTTTGTGAAAGTCTTCTTTTTGTATGGCAAAAAAAAAAAAAAATAGTTCAAGCTTGCTGAAGTTTCTAAACTTGTCAAAACATACTATTCAGCCGTGATTTTGTTTTAGAGCACTCGTCGCAAAGAAAACAAAATATTCAAACGGAACATAAATTTGATTTTTGATCTAAAAATCAAATAGATTCAAACTTAAAAGTCAAAAGAAAAAGCATGAAAGATGGGTGGATGGGCGAGGTGGCGCATGCAGTATCTTGCAAAAGTTGTATGCACGGACCCGTCTAAGATAATCAAGGATTAAACACATGGCAGACGCCATGTGTTGGTCGCGCCAGCCTCGGATCGATGGCCTTCCCTGCCGCCCGATTGAACCCGCCTTGGCTGTCGGATCCGGGTCATCTTCCTAACGCCTTTGGCCTTTCGCACTCGTACGCACACCACCCCCATTTGCATGCACACAAGACGGGTGCCGTCCCATCGCCCGAACGTCCTCTCGACCCCCCCCTTCCCCACGTGGATATCCTTCCGGTCACCGCCCTCACCCGTTGCAGCTCGTCGGACGCAGCCCATTGTCGCCATCCTTGAACTGTCGTAGTAGTTGCGCGGATCTGTTGTAGCATTAACAGTTGTCGGTCGCAGCTACTCGTCTCGTCAGTTGCAGCTCCCTGTTGTTTCCTTGCAGCTTCGTCGTTGCAACATAGTCTCGTGCTTGTAGCAACTCCTGTCGTCCCTCGCACCTCACCACACTGTTCTTGCAACATGGGAGTGGCCGCTGTGATGGCTCGCCTCCAAAAGGCTGCCGACCACTGATTGCAACACCTCTCTTGTCGATTGCAATTGGGCGTCGTGCCGGTTCCAGCTCACCCCCATGCCAATCGCAACATCTCGGGTTTCCGGTTGCAGCTGGGCGCTATGCCCGTTGCAGCTCGGCCAGAGTCGTTCGCGGCATCTCGGGCCTCCGGCTGCAGCTAGGCGTTGTGCGGTTACACCTTGGCTCATGTTGCATCCAAATCGCCCCATGCTGGCCATAGTATCTCATGTGTCACATGCCCCATCTTGTGGCAATGGGCGCCACAAAGTGCTTGCAACAGCGCATCGATCGCAGCTTGAAGCAACACCATAGCCCTCGCAATGCATCGGCACGCCAGGAGTGCCTCCTGATGTTGCTTGTAGCAGGTGGTTCATCGTGGGATTGTCTCCATATCATCGCCCCCTTGACAGCAGTGCTTGGAGCAGCCCGAGGTCGTCCGTCGCAGTGAGAGCGACGACGTCTCGTGGCGGTGGTGGGCACCTTTCGCACTAAGCGGACACGCACGAGAAGAATGTTGAGTGGGCGTGCGACTGTGACTTGGAGTTTTAGAGGAACAAGAAGTTGTCAATGCGTGAAAATATAAGGGAGGGGGCGGGCGGTTTGTGGGCCCATGCAGCGCACGTCACGGGGAAGGTGACCGGCGAAAGCTAAGATCGGTCACCCGAGTCGGATCCTTTTCCTAAACACATGGAGGACCAACCGAGTTTTCGAATCTTGATGCAATCGTGCCTCCCATTACCCCTAGAAAAATGTGTGCCCCGCCACACCTAAGGGCATCTCCAACAGGTTGTATGTTAGTCTTGTTGGTAAAATGTCCATGTCATCAACCAACAAGCTATCATACAACTACTCCAATAGGTTGTATGTAAGCTATCCAATAGATGATGAAAAAATAAATGTGATTGCTCTCTATTTCACCTTGAAGCTTGTGCATAGGTTGTTGGTTATTCTACATATAACTTTGCTCTCTCTCCACATTTATTACATGTCATATCATCACTATGTCCTAAGTGGCAAATTACCAACACTTATGCCTAAGGGGCTACCGCAAATCCTCCGCCTTCCTTGACCTGCAGGTCAAAGCTCGTGCATCAAGCCTCTTGCCAAAGCTTGTATTACTTCGGCTGTCAACTCCGTTCATGTTTTTATTTCCTTAAACTCGTCTGACAACAGCAGGGAGGGAGCTGTGACCAGTAAATTGCAAGTGATACCATCCATGCAGTTGGGGTTAACACGCTACTTTTAACAAGCATCAGGCAAAGAAGCTTCTACGTGACACAGCGGATCCGCCAAGTGTCCAGCAAATATGAATGGTACTTTTGAGCTCTCCCTTTTTCTCTCATTTGTGATCTGCATTTCGAGGTCCTCCTATTCTTGTATGACACGCTTCTACCCGAAGGAAAAGGCATTCGTGGGGCCGAGCTAGAAAGCACGAAAGTGACTTCATTTCCGGTTGGTTAACTGCCACATTAGATTAAGATTAGATAGTAGTGGTGGTGTTCCATGCGGCCGGCCTCCCATTTCGAGTAGCACAAAAGATTAAAGCCCTAACGAAACGCGATCTCGACATGAACGTTAAGCCGTGCCCATGAAGACGGCCAGCACGGGCAAGGTAGTTAAATTTCACCTCCATGACGTACCCCATCCATGCCATCAGACTTGCCGGAGTGTGCATGGGCCCGCCCGTCAGTGAGGGCTGCAAGGCTCTCCCGTCTCATATTCGGGTGGCCAAACTACATGCTCCACGTTTGCAACTTGGAGTGAAAGAAGCCACGCCCCGGTGGTCTGGTCCGGTTGATCGAAAAACCACCATAATTGGCGGTACGTGTCCGTTTGCGACATCAGCTCAGCCTCAGCTGGCAGCTGCCCTGCTCCGCTGCCGGCCGAGCCCACGGCCCAAAGCAAGGCGTCCAGCTGGCTCGCAGTCGGGCAGTTTTCTCTCTTCCGGTCAGTTTCAGCCCCAAGGGGATCTATCCAGCTGCGCTTTCACGTTACCTGTTCCCCACTTCCCCGTGGGCCCCGCTGCGACGGGCCCACGGGCACCCTCCTTCGTCGTGCTGACGGCACCACGTCTCGCTACGCGAACACTCTAGCTGCTTCCACCGTTCGCAGATGACTCGCCTTGGCTAAGCTACCATTGGCATTCGCCATGAGCATGTGAAAATGCCATTCTTTTCCTCTGGTAAGTTCAACGTCTCCGGCGCGGATGAAAAGAAAAATGCGTAGGTGGAAGTGGCCGTGTCGCGAATCCGACACAAATCCCCTCGGAAACCACCTCACCTGCTTGATTCCCAGTGATTAAATTAAACAACTCCAACTCGAGTAATCTCAGACTTAACTAGCCTGACAATCTCCACAGTCCGTACACGTGCACGCGCAGCCACATCCAGGTCCCCCGGTCTGCCCCAAGCCAGGCCACGGCCCACGGCTGGATGCTCCGACCCCACAGGCCC